AACCCCGGGCGGTCTGGTGTTGGTTGCTCCCTTAACCAAGGGGGTACCATGGGATGCTGAGCCAAGGACCCAGAGTTGTCTTATAGAAGCACCGTGGAACGGGTAGCACTTAGCTGTGGATTGTATAGGGCGTCTAGCCCTTCTTGAATCCCTCCCAAGAAATAATCCAAGATTTTTGGGAATAGTGATCATCGATGGTCTCAATTGTTGCTCCCCACACTGGGTACCGAAATCTCTCCATGTGGAATCATAATTCCTGTTAGATGAGGGCCATCTTTAAGCCTGAATCACAGTAACGACGTCTGATGAGTAGAACTCTCATGTCGGGAGCCGTCGTTCAAATGCCAGGTGGTCAACCGGAGCCACTGGTACGCAGGGTGTTGTAGAATCCCCTGGCTGGGGGAAGTTCAAGCTGGCGGTATCCTCCACGGAGAGATCGAGAGACCCACGAGTACGGCAACCACGGCCATCTGACCAGTGTGGAACAACCAGTATCACCTCTGCTCTTCCTGCAGTATCTTACGGAGAACTGCCTAAGTCAGAGGAAGAGGAGGGAACGCAAATAACAGACCCCTGGTCACGGTAGCAGAGGGCATCTGCCCTTTCCGCCCCTGGAGATGGAAACCAGGGAAAGAGCCTTGGGGACTAGGAATTCGACAGAGTAATGAATAAAGCCAGTACTGGAAGACCGAACCTCTCCGATGTCTCCCAGAAGAGATCTGGATGCAGGCTCCATTCAAAGTGATCCACTGTCGTCTGTTCGAGCGAAAACCCGCCTGCCGATTCGCCTCTCCCGAGATGAGTTCGGCCCGAGGGAGAGGTTGGTCTCTGCCCAGGTTCTCAATCACTGAGCCTCAGCCATGAGGGACCTGGAGTGGGTACCCCCCTGCCGATTGACATGGGCTTTCGCCGCCACGTAGTCTGTGAGGACTGGAGCGTGTTGTCTTGTCACTGTGCTGCGATAGTGGATTAGAGCCAAGTGTATAGCTCTGAATTCCGACCAGCTTATGTTGTGTTTCAGGTCTGACCGGTACCACTGGCTCTGAACCAGCTGTGCTTGTAAGCGCGCTCTCCAGCCGAACAAGCTGGTATCCAAAGTCAGGATGATCCAGGTGGGTTCCTTGAACAAGGTCCCCCTTGCTGTCACTGGGGAGATCCACCACTGGGAGGATCTTAGGGTCTGAGACAGAACCTTTACCCTTGACCTGGAGAAACTGGTGTCCAGTCTCTGGAACGGAAGCCAGAACCATTGCAGGTTCCTGAAGTGTAGTCTGGCCCACGGCACTATCGCTATGCAGGAAATCATATTTCCAAATAATTGGAAGAGCCTAGTCAGGGCGACTACCCGTTCCCTTTGTACCTGGATGACCAGGGATCGAATGTAGTCTAGCCGTTCCCAAGACAGGTTGACCTCGCATTTCCTTGTCTCTATTCACCGCACCCAGGCGAAGGAGGCAGGAGGAGGGAACTGTCTGGTTCTTCCGAGAATTTACAGAAGCCCGTGACTTGGAGGGTCTTGACAGACAATGGCAAGCCTGACAGATCCGACTGAACCAAGGAGGGTGGAACAAGAATATCGCCCAGATAACACTGGATGCGCATCGGTCGGTCCTGAAATGCGCAACCAGCGTTGCCAGGGCCCTATATACACCCTGAGGGCCGAAGAGAGGCCGGGGAATTGCTGGTGTCCAGGAAGAATGGGAATGCATTGGTAGGCTTACGATAGACCAAAGGACCTCAGGAGGTTCCCCCCCCCATTCAGATGCCGGCCAATACGGATTGGAGTGTTCATGCCTGAACCTCTCGTATGCCAAATGAGTATTTAATCCCCTTTAAAATAGAGGATTGAGGTACATTGTTGTCTGCTGTTGCATCATTGTCTGCCATTGCATTGTTGTCTGCCATTGTAATCAGAGATATCTCGGTGGTATGCCGAGAGGGATCTCAAAGGAGACGTCTCAGTGGTGTGCTTAGAGGGGTCTCAATAGTAAGGAGCAGAATACTGATAGTGGCATGGCCACTCGATGGAATGAACAGTTGTACTCAGGGGTTAAACGTGGCTGCAGGACCAAATTAATGGTACTGCCCTCACTCATGTAACACTCCTGATGGCAGCAGGACCAGTAAGAGCATGTCCAGTGCTCTGGTCAGTGTCTCTGTGGTGGCCAAACTCGAATTCAGTGGTAGCGGCCAGCTCACAAGTAGTTCACTTAGTGAAGTTGAGGCCAACTTAATGGCAACAACCAGTGCACTAGTCCTAACTAGTGACAGTAAGACCAACGTAATGGTGCGGCCAACATACTTTCTCCTGTCAGGATAAGGAGGTAGCTAACGCTAGGCCGGAATCTTGTGTGAGCCCGAGATAGCAGTTGTTATGCTCGCCTCCTTATATAGGTCCAAGGTCCTGAGGCCTGAGAAGACCCAACGAAGGGGAGGAGGCTAAATATATTTGAGGCCAGGAGGGCTGAATTGAATGGAATCCGACCCTTGATGTAACAATTAAGGAGTATTCAGATGCCTAGTAGGCCGAACCCTTATCGCAGACGCAGCCTGCTTTCCCCTATTCGGAGACCCGTCACTTGAGACAGTCGAGGTTGAAGGAGCGTGTTGTGGGCCAAAAACCAATGCCTCCCCTGGAACATGGGAGACCTGCCCTGCTGCTGCCTTGACACCTCGCTTTTCCACTTTGGGGCATTGTTGCACTAAAGCCTGGTGTCTCCTGCTGACTTCCCAACAGCCACAGAGGGCCTCTTCTTGCCCGAGTTGGTTGTAAGGCCAACTCAATGGCCACGGTCGGCCCACATGCGATCCACTCAGTGATGGCAAGACCAACTTTATGGTATCAGCCAGCACACATGTAATCCACTTAATGGTGGTAAGCCAGATTAATGGTTATGGCCAGAACAATCAAGATCCTTTTAGAAGCTGCAAGATCACCTTAATAGCAAAAGGTTGTAAAACGGAGGAGGTCTTTAGCCCAGACCTCCTACACTCTGTCGCTTTGTGCCTCGGAGAAATGTTTCTCTAAGGCCTGGAGCCTCCTGCTGGCCTCCTTTTCAGCCATCCTAGAAGATTTCTTGACAGAAATAGCCTTGGTCCTAGGTCTACCAGCCGCCTCCTGTTTGGAGAACTTGGACTTCCTTTTCGTGGAAGTGCCGAGAGGCTTCCTGTGACATCTGAGATGCCAAGTTGTCTGCCATCGCAATCAGAGATATCCCCTTGATGTGCTGAGAGGGATCTCAATAGTAGGAGCAGAGTACTGATAATGGCTGGGCCACTCAATGTAAGAAACAGTGTACTCAAGGTTCCAACGTGAACTGCAGAACCAAATTAATGGTACTGCCCTCACCCCTGCAATGCTCCTGATGGCAATAGGAATAGTAAGAGCACGTCCAGTGCTCTGGTCGATTCAATTGTGGTGGCGAGACCACCAACAGCCAGTTCATAAATGGTTCAGTTAGTGATGGCAAGCCAGGTAACGTCCAACCCACATGTGTCTCACCTAGTGACTGTGTTTCACTTAGTGAAGGCAAGACCAATGCAATGGTAAAACCAAGATAGCGACCGCTACCTGGCAAAAATGAAAGTAGCTGAGGCTTCAGCCTACGCCCGGAACAAAAGGCGGCCAGAATCAAGCATTCAAGCGATGCGCTGCCAACCCGATCGACACAAGATGGAAACCAAGCAAGGGGAGACAATCAAAGGGAAAAACCAGCGAGCCTCCATGTGGCGTCTGCTGGCGCATGCCGAAACGGCCGTACTACAAAGGGCTGTATACAAGGCTTCAGTTGAAGCCTCAAAACCTCTGAAAACCCGGATGATTCAACCTGCGCTGTGAAGGCACAGCGACTGGAGAAAAAATCCACAATAGATGGGGAATAAACAACAGAGAACAATACCTGATCTGTCCCTAAAGACTGAGCCAATCTTACCACGTCTTACTGGAGCGAAGACTAAGTCGAGACTGGGTCTACTAGCCCAGGGGAAGAGGCGTGGCAAAGGTTGATTGACTTAGTCTCTGGGCAGGAAGACAAGGATCAACCCATCTGTTGTGGATTCTCCACTGATCATGCTGGAGAACAATTCTATACCTGTGATGGTTTCCACTACTGCCAATTTCCAGGGATTGCCTCTGTAAACTAAGTTACTTCTGGCAAGGCTTTGATTTCTTTGTCCTGGGTACACCTTTGCAATTCTTCCAATTCTGCTTCTGTGAATACTTTATTTCATATTATAAATTAACATTGATCTTCTAGCCTCTGTTCTGTTATTTCTGATTCTGGATTTAAAGAGCTGGTACATTCATTTCAAATATCATCTTCTCATTGGACTTGATCTGTAATAAAGATCATTATTTCTTTGTTTTCAATCATGGTACAGTTGTGACAGGTAAACACCTTTCCTTCTAGCAGCTCTGCAGCTGCTGGCCCTAGTTGCTCAGCCATCAGTCCTAGTCCTATATCCCATTTTTCACCAGATGTCCAGGAAGTCCAATTCCTACTGCAGTCCTTGTTGACCTGGGCGACTACTGAGCCAGTATGAGTTTCTATAATTTATGTATCACCATAGTTTTTATGGGAAAGACACTTTTTGTCGCATAGTCGGCCAGATGTTCAAACTGGACCAGTCTGTTCAAGCTGTTCAATGTAAAGCTATTCAATGTAAAGCTGCCTCTTGCAATTGAATGAGGTGAATTTGTCAATATCGATGGTGTTCAAGTGGTGCTCCAGATGTTTTGGGATTACTCCTATGACTATGGCACTACCTTTGCTTTATTTTGCCACGGTCATTTTATTTCTATTTGCAGGTCTTTGTATTTTGCTATCTTCTCCAGTTCTTTCTCTTCTATTCTGTTGTCTCCATCTATATGGAGACAGGCAGGCACCTGTCACATAACACCCCAGACTTAACAATTGTTGACAAGACAGACAAAAAAGTCTGGATAGTGGATGCAGATGTTATAATATTATAGTGTTTTTTTAAGTTACATTAAAACTCACCTCAATTTGATCAATTTTTACTTGCTTGTAAGCTTTTTTCATTTCCTTCACTCCTAGCTTCATAGCATCAACCTAAAAAAGTTACCAGATAAAATAGTTAGACTCATTAATACATATACAATAAATAAATACACATGGAAATGAAAGGAAGATTTACCGTTGTTTTTGTATCTTTTAGGGACTGGATAGTATAGTTGGCTTGTTCCATATTGAAAGATTGCTGGGCAAGATTATCCCGTTGGTTTTCGTACCTATATTAATAACATATAAGCTTAAAATCATGGTACAATTGCAGTATTACTTGACTTTCATAAATATTACAAATCCAACAGTACAAATTTGAGTCGCAGTCCCCAAATATAGGACTTGAAATAAAAATGAGCATGTCAGTTCCTATAATAAATCAAATCAAATCTTTACTATGCTCATAGAGCAGCATAAGTTCTTATAATAAATATAACTGGCTTCCAATGATTCGAAAACAAAATCTCCTGATGACTAAATGCGTTTTCTTGGGAATAATATATTACTGTTTTGCCAGTGCCTTCTTTGGGAATTTTCTTCACTTGCCAGTTCAAAGTTCTTTAATAGATTTTCATTCAAGTATCAGCCGGGGTAACTTAGCTTTTTGGGATCTGAGATAGTCAGCAAGGTGCTGCCATATTTTAATTCTGCATCTATTCAGTCTGAAGATTAAAGAAAAGTTAGCTTTCAATTTAAATAGATACTGTTTTGAGTTACAAATTTACTAGTTTATCAAAATATAAAAAATACAGAAATACAAAGAAAATGACAATAATTAGGAAAAGGGGGAGGAAAAGGTAAAGAGGAAAAAGTGTAGGATAAAAGAAAAAAGAAAAAATTGACTTCCAACTCTTTGGCTCAATAGAATAAATAACGTACAATGTCAACTTTTTATTTTTACATAATTATATTACATAATATTACATAGTATTATTAAATAATAATCTATAATCTATATAAATAAAAATGTAAATGTTCGTTTGTTCAAAATCTTAAATCTCCAAAAGTTCTTCACCGATTGCTTTGAAATTTTGACACAACGTTGCATTCGAATACACGCGTGTTTTTATATACCTACTATTATATAGATGTCACACCTGTGACAGGTAAAAACATGCTTTTTTTGAAAAATAGCGCCATCTGTTGGCTGAGTGGCCGGGTACAGCTAGTACATAATAAGAAAAGAAGAAACAGGGGTGACATGATAGCAGTATTCCAGTATTTGAGAGGCTGCCACAAAGAAGAGGGGGTCAATTTATTCTCTAAAGCACCAGAGGGCAGGACAAGAAACAATGGTTGGAAACTGACCAATGAGAGAAGCAACCTGGAATTAAGGAGAAAGTTCCTAACAGTGAAGACAATTAACCAGTGGAACAACGTGTCTTCAGAAATTGTGGGCACTCCATCACTGGAGGTTTTTAAGAAGAGACTGGACAGTCACTTGTCTGAGATGGTATAGGTTCTTCTGCCTGAGCAGCAGGCTGGATTAGAAGACCTCCAAGATCCCGTCCAACTCTATTCTATTCTAATATATACTAGTCATTTATATAATAACAAGCCTATCTCATCAGCATAATCCAAAATCAAAGTTTCATTTTTTTCCACTTGAAGCAAAGTCCAGAAGTATTTTCTAAATAGAAACAAAAATTTCATTTTTGATGTGTGCCGTTATGCCCACTGTAAAAAAATGAAAATAAAGATTATCTTATCTTATCTTATCTTATCTAATCAAAGCAGTCAATTTAACTATTTCTGCTAACTCCATCAATTTTTGCCCCATTCATTCACTGTGGGAATCAAAATGTCTTTCTATTTTTCTGCATAGAGTTCTTGCTGCTGTCAGCATATATAACATCAAAGTTTCATTTTTTAAAGTTCTCTGTTCCTTAAGCTCAAAAAAAAGTCTCTGGTTTTATCTTTATATCAACTTTAAGAATCTTCAATATTAAGATTTAAATCTTGCCCAAATATTTTCTTGCTTTGTCACTAGTCTATCATAAATGGTAAAAAAATCTTTCTTTAATTTACATTTTAACATATATTAGAATACCTTTATACATTTTTGACAATTTATCTGGTGTTAGATATCAAGGGTTCATCATTTTATAAAAAAATTATTTTATATTATAATTTCATCCACATTTTACCGTTGTTCAAGCATATTATATCCAAAATTCTTTGTCCATTGTATCATACAATATTTCACATACCCATTCTCCAAGTTCAATTTCAGTATTAATTTATAAACCTTAGCAATAATATTTTCATCATTACTACACCACTGAATTTCCTTTTTTTTCAAAGTCAAATCTATAAGATTTTTTTTATTTAATTTAAATCCTTCTGTCAAATATAAATATGTAAACCAATGGTAGACACATCCTTCTAATTCCAACTTCTCTTTAGATTTGAGGAAAGTGTCACCATAATTAAATATTATTTGACCATAAATTCACCAATCTGACCTTGCCACCATTTCTTTTCTAAAAGAAGCTTCCTGGGATGACACCTAAAGAGGCATCTTTACAGAGAACATTGTATGTATGCCAAACTGTTAGAATGGCAGGTCTAACAAAATGGTTGTTGAAAATAACATTTACTTAATCTTATTATACAATAAATTAAGTGTGCTATCAAATCTTAATTCATGGCCCTCCAGCTCAAATAGCTGTTGTTTTGGAGAGTTACCGACTCTTTAAGCCAGATCTAATAGTAGTAGTAGTAGTAGTAGTAGTAGTAGTAGTAGTAGTAGTAGTAGTAGTAATATAATGATGACAGTTGTTTTGTTGTGTTTGTTGTTGTTGTTGTTGTTGTTGTTATTATTATTATTATTAAATGCCTGTAAAATCTTCTTCAATCTTTCTGCCAAAATTGCAACAAAAAGTTTACAGTTACTATTTAGTAATAAAATTGATCTATAGTTTTTTATCCTTAGGACATCTTGACCTTCCTTTGATAATAACTCAATGTTGGCTTCTTTTTTAATGGCTGAATGAGTTGGTCACCAAAAAATGATAATATTGATTTGTGAGACCATCTGGATTTTGAGCTTTATCTGCTTTCATTTTTTAATAGTTTCTGATAATTTCAAAGGTAGTTTACTGGATTACACATAAATTCTCTCTGAATTTGTGAAAGTTTGGTTAATGTTGTCTTTGCAGATAATCATTTATTTTATACATATCAAGTATAAAATTCTTCTTCATAAAAAGACTGGAGTAAAAACTGTGAAAGGACTTTTTAGTATGACTATTATCTGTTATTACATTGTCAGCCTTCATGGATTTTTTTCAATCTGTTAACATAGTCAATTGTTGATGTAACAGTTTAATTTGATATAAAATTTTAGTATCCACTGATAGTTTTTGCAGTTCAATTTTTTTTTTCAGATTTCATCAATATCTTTTGCATCTTTTCCTGGGATTTCTTCTTATCTAGACGATTGTATTTTAAAAAATAGCCCCTCTTCACCGCTTTACTGGTATCCCAAACAGTAATTAATACTAGAATAATAGAGTTGGAAGGAATCTTGAAGATCTTCTAGTCGAATCCCCTGCACAAGTTGAAGACTTTATACTATTTCACACAAATGACTGTCCAGTCTCTTCTTAAAAGCTTCCAGTGATGGAATATCCACAACTTCTGAGTGCAACCTGTTCCATTGGTTAATTGTTCTCACTGTCAGGAAACTTTTCCTTAATTCTAGGCTGCTTTTCTCCTTGATTAGTTTCCATCTGTTGCTTCTTGTCCTGCCTTCTGGTGCTTTGGAAAATAGGTTGATTCCCTCTTTTTTGTGGCCACTCCTCAAATTAAATTTGTCCCTTTATCTACATTAGTATCAAAATATTAATTTAATTTCTTTTTGCAGTCCTTTGCAACCATCTCTTTTTGTAAAATAGATTCATTTAATATCTATTTATAATTCAGGATCTTTTTTCTAAGTATCAAAAGAACTGGGTTATAGTCAGAGGAAGATTTAGGTCAGTGATGGTGAACCTTTTAGAGACCGAGTGCCCAAAAACTGGTCCCGCTCCTGCTCCACTCCCTGCCCTGCCCCTGCTCCACCCCCTGCTCCGCCCCACCCTACCTGCCCGCAGGGCTACTCACTGTCTCCAGGGCCCAACACAGATCGCCCAGGCAGCCCAGCAGCACCATGGCGGCCACGCCCTCTGGCCACGCCACGCAGCATCAACTGTGCGTGTTGGGGTGTGAGGGCAGAGTCTTGTCTACGCTGCCTGGCTGCCATGTTCTTGGCTGCGCTGTTCCATGTGGGCCACACTCAGGGCGAGCGACTCTCCTCCAGGGAGGCTGCTGGTGAGGAGGGGGCCGTGGGCGGAGGCAAGGCTGGGGCAATAGCATGTGTGCCCACAGAGAGGGCTCCGAGTGCCGCCTCTGGCACCCGTGCCATAGATTTGCCACCACTGATTTAGGTAATATATGAATTTTTAAATTTTTATTCACAAGATATTTAGAAATCCTTATCATATCGATTCTTGAAAAAGATTTATTTCATTCTGAAAAAAAGTATATACTCTAGCAAATTCATTATTATTTTTTTTGCCTCTACAAATCTACCAGTGCTAAAATGACCACCATCTCAAAAAAAAGGCTTTGGTAATTTACGATGAGACGGTTTATTTCCTTTAATAGATGTTCTATCCAAGGCTGGAGACATCACTCCATTCCAACCCCCAAATAAGTCAATTTTCATAAGCAACAGGTAATAGTTGATTCATAAAATGTCATGGCTGCATCTCAACTATTTAAGCTTCATGAGCTGGCAGCAAGACATTAGCATGGGGGGGAGAGGGAAAGTTTGGAGTGTGAAGAATGTGGGGGGGGGAGGATGAGAGCCCAGCTGAGCCATGTGAGAAGCTCCAGCTAGCCAAGATCATTAACAATATGCAGAGCTGGGAACTGAGCATCTGTTTCCTGAACAATATACAAGTATCTAATTGGACATTTGCAGATAATTGGGGGAAGCCGGGGGGGGGGGGAGAGGGAACTTTCCTTTCTGCTTTTTGCACGGGAAAACTTGAAATTCAGCTTACATTACTTCTGTAATCATTTAAGTTTCAGTAAAGTATACCCTTGGTAAAACAAACGACCAGGAATCTTTCTCTGCTAGATGAATGAGTGGGACGGATGACATTAAGCTGAATCTCCAGAAACAACTTATCTAGTGGAAACTACCTGCTGAGGAGGTTGTGCAACTGCTCCAGGGAAT